CTGTGTGTGTGCACAGCCTGTGCAGTAGTCTCCCTTATATGGTGGTTCATTTTTCTTAATGTTAGTTACCTGTGCTCAACTGTGGTCCAAAAATACTAAACAGAGAATTCCAGAAATAAATAACTTATAGATTATAATATTGTTATAATTTTTGTTTCATTATTAGTATTGGTTATCTCTTACTGTATCTAGGAAGTAACAGTATGGATACAAGGTTGGTTTCCGGCATCTCCTGGGGGTCTTGAACTGCATACTGGTAGACAAGGGAAAACCGCTGTATTAGAAACTCACCCATTCATTACCATATGAGAGGTTGGGGAAATGCTGGATTCAGGTGTTGCCTCTTTGGAATAGCTCATTCTTAAACTTGTGAGTGAAGCCTGCTTCTGCAGGAGTCTGATTTTGGGGGTGAGGGCAGGTGGCCCCATTCAACACTGATTGATGCCAGAGAAACTTCCAGAACCCTCCAGAATATGTCTCCCATCCTTTCCTTGTCCTTGAAGCTCTTCTAACTCCCTCATCCTTGGTCCTCAGGGCCTTTCCAGAGCCTTCTCTCAGAAAAAGTGACTGTTCGGAGCTCCTTGGGTATTGCTTTTTTTCTCTTGTTTGGTGGTACTGGGGATTGAACCAACCCAGAGCCTCACATATGCTAAACATGGGCTCTTCCACTGAGCAACACCTCCCAGCCTCACTGGTTAACACTTTCAGGGATGCCTGTCTTTGAATCAAAGATGAGAGGCCTGATCAAAAGCAATTGGTTTCTAGTTTCAGACTGTCAGGGACTGACAAAATAGATAGGGCAGGTCCTCCAGGAAGAGTCATAATGGTGGTGGTGGTAGTGGTGGTGTGTGTGTGTGTGTGTGTGTGTGTGAGAGAGAGAGAGAGAGAGAGAGAGAGAGAGAGAGAGAGAGAGAGATTTGAAGGGATGTACCTCAGATTTCTGAAATCGCTTCTCCAAAAACCTGACCTTGTAAGTCCCTGTGGGCATTACTGAAGAAGAAGCCAAATCATCTATAGGCTATGAGACCTATGGACAGGATATGCCCACTACCCCAAATGCAGAAGGTACAGATGTATGCTAAGAGGTAGGCTACCAAATCCTGGCCACTTTGGTCTTCAGCAGAAACAATTCTGGTCAGAATTATGGTCTTCAGCCTGAAGCAATTTTGCCCTCTAGGGGACATTGTACTGGAGTCACTCTTGCTTGTTGCAATTGGGAGAAAGTGCTCCTGGCATTTGTGGGTAGAGGCCAGGGATGCCGGGCAGCGTCCTGCAATGCACAGAACAAACCCAACAGAGAACCATCCAGTTTGAGAGGCCAATAGTACAAGGTGGTGGAACTGGTCTAGATAAGGTAGAAAGAGGATCTCTGGACTTACATGATCCCCACACCTGAGCACTGCTTCTCATGGGGTGTGTGTGTGTGGCAGGGAGGTGGTCCTTCCTTGTTCTCTGATCCATGAAACTCCAGGGAGTTCAAGAAGTGTTTCCACTTGCTGTTCTCAGTTGTGGATTTATGTGTGACTATTCTGTGCCCAGACAAAGCTATAACCACTGCAAGTAACAATTCCAATGCAAAAACCACAATATTAATGCTTATTGTAATTTGACAAACATCACACTTAGCATGTTATATGAATTCTGTCCTTTAATACTGCACTACAACCCTGCAAAAGAACTATTAACAGAATCTCCACTTACAGACAAAGAAATTGAGGTTTAGAAGCACCAGTGGCTTGCCCAAAATTGTCCTGTTAAATTTCCCCATGGAAATGGGATTGCAAAGCCAGGCATGTGGATCCTGGGGCCCAAACTCCAAGCCACTAAACTTCACAGGAAAGACGATATTGTCTCTGGAATAAATTCCCATCTGAATGTAGATTTGTATGGTAAATTACCAAAAAATTCATCCTGATAACCCAGTTTGATTCTAATTTCACAATTTGCAATCTACAAATTCCAGTTCAGAATAATATGACTGTATTCTCTCTCCCCAGGTGAGGAGTCTGGGCTTGCAGTAGTTCCACTTGGCAGTTGGTCCTTCACTGGCCCCAACCCAGACACCCAGGAGCGACTGTGGCGGCGACACCAGGCCGACAACTCACCAAAACCTTCACTATTTCTAGCATCCACGCCACAGGCCGCAAGGTGAGGAGTGTTGTTGGTCTTCCAAGACGGTGGCTACCCTGCAGGCGGCTGCAGGATGCTGAAAGAATCAGTGCGTCCTCAGCACTTCCCAGCGCTGCGCTCCCAACGCAGCTTTGAGAATCACTGGCACCGCCAAAAGGAGGCTATCTGATTCTTCCACTGTTTGCCTGGGCAGTCCACCAGAAAGCAAAAAATACAGTATTCTAGAAGCCCTGGGTAGGAAGCGCCCAGAAGAAAGTTCCTCCCGGAAGAATTTAACCCGGCAGCACTAGCGCGCAGCGGTCGACTTTGGCTTCTCAGAGCAGCTGGTAACTGGAGGGTCCCCTGCGTATGGTGACAAAGCTGAAGGATGCAGGAGCCGGGGAGTGCTCAGTCTCTGCGCATCTTTCCTAGCCCACTTTCCAGCCGACTTCCCCGCAATTCAGAGCCCTGGTTGGTCTGAAGCCGCATTTCTGTGCTGTGGCCTGTCATGGAGCGCTGTACAGAGCCAGCCTCTCAGGTAATCCCGGGGAGACGTGCCTGTAAGCAAGCCCTGCGGCCCCACCACAAACCTGTCCGCTGCTGCCGCCCACCCTCCAAGGCCAATTCAAAGGCATATTGGTGGGTTTCCCTGAAACTAAAGGATACACAACCACATCCACAGACACCTAGACCGGCGCGTCAGCAGCGCACAACTCAGCACCACAGCCACCACCGTAATAAAACATTAGTTGGGGTTCTATTCTCAGTGTGTAGGAAGCACCTTGGCTTTGGTTAGGTTGGCACGATGCCCCCACTTGGGAGGGCAGAGAACTAATCCCGTTGAGACTGAAGGAGATGGGAGAGTGCGTGCGAAGAGGCAGGCAGACCGATTCTCCTCGGTCTAAGACACAACCCAGGCCCTCAGGAAGAACCAAAAACGACTGCTCAGTGGTGCCCCGCGTGTTCTAAAGAAACCCTCGCATTGAACTCAATTTGAAGGGAAAGACAGAAGATTTTAGAAGAAAACCTCCCAGATATTGACCAGCCCAACTGGAGAGATTTTTCTGCCTAAAGAAATGCGTTTGTTTGCTTTGCCTCAATCTAGGGAGTCCCGGGCTCCCCTAGGCATGTTAAGAGAAGGGTGGATTTCTGCAGGAAAAGAGGTGGTCCTGGTTTCCAAAACACAGAGGTAATGAGAAGCTGGATCTGCTGTTTGCTGGTGCTGTGATTCCCTGACCTACAGAAATGCTCGCCCTTTGGTGGCTGTGCGCTCTCGGTCTCGCTGTCTGCAGAACTCTATGCATCTCCTCCTCGTGCATCGTAGAGGAAAAAGCCCCGTACAGATCCCTAAAGAGTGATTTCTGAGATGTGGATTCTGAGTTTTCGGGGCTGTGGGGTCGTAACGAGAATTGGTAAGCGCAGGGGTGTGTGGCTCTGGCTTTGCATAGCCCCTCGCATAGGCTCTAGAGTGGGATGGCTACGGATCCTCAGAATTCTCGCCTGCAATATCCGCGACTAGGGACTCCGCTAAGAGAAATTTACCTCCAGGCAAATCAAGGGCCCCTTCCTAGAGGAGGCTGAACCATCCCACGGACTGGAAATTGGTTCTCTAATGATTTGTTACCAATCCTAGCGCACCCAAGCGCAGATTCCTTGCGCTCCGAGGGGAGTGGTTTCTGCTCTTGGGTGTGGTGGTTGCGGGATAACGAAACCACAAGAGCTGGGAGCTGAGCGCGATCCCGCGCCAGATGCGCTGTAGGGGTCGGGACCTAAGGTGCCGCCTACAAGAGGGTTCTCTGCTTCTCTTGCGGCTTGACTCTGTGCGCCTGGGCTCGGGAGGCGCAGGCAGGATTCGAAGCGCACGAGGCTGGAGCGGAAGGCAGAGTCTCTGAGGGACTGCAAGTGTGGAGTCGGGTACTGGTTTAGCAGTAAGGTGAGGAGCCTGGCTCCTACCGGTGCAGCCTCATTCCTGTTCCATCCCAGCAGGGAGGCCCAATCCAGATCAGCGTGTGTCTAGTCTACAACTGAGAACTTGGAATCCAGAGACACAGACATTTCTAAGAAAAAAAAAGTTTATTTAAAATTTTGTACATAAATAAATAAATAAATATTTTCTGGTATTACAGAGACCTTACAATTACACAGCTAGGCCCGGGTGGGCCCGGGACCTGGGAGGCGGAGAGAGGTCACCTGCGGCAGGGAGATGGGAGGGAGGGATCTACGTTTTAGGGAATGCAGAGAATGTCGGAAACAAAGTGAATCGATATCCCCAATACCATACCATGGGAGACATTTCTCTCCGGAGACACGAGCTGTGGCGACTCGGACAGCAAGGCCTGATCAAGGGACAAATGGACCCACTGAAGGAAGAGAAGAGGAAAGTTCATAAATGTGTTGGAGGGGGTGAATAAACGACCACAGCGAAGAGTTTGGGAGGAAAAAAGACATTTAAAAAAAGGGAAGCAAACGGGCGTCCAAGCAGTGAAAGGCCCAGCTTGATGGTGGATGGAGGAGGTTAGAGGAAGCGAGGAAGCCTGACCTGCCCAAAGCAGGCGGGCGAGGAGGCGCTGGGCGCTGGCCTCCAGCCAGGCGCTGGGCCGGCGTGCATGCTTCTGGGGGCCGTGGTGCTGCACTGCCCAGGAGGACCCAAGCGCTGCAGGGTTCACAGCTTAGTGTTCACTTAGGACGCCGGCGAGCCCAGGGACCCGGATACCATCGTCAGGTCTCCGCTAAGCTTCAGCTCTGCCCAGAGCTGGGGGTCCCCCAGCAAAGCTGTACCAAATTCGTGCGAGGCAGTCGACTGGCACCGGGTACTTGGGAACCAGCGTTTCGTCCCAGGATCAGTCTTGGAGGTGCAGGGAGGTCTTGGGGCAGGCGGCCTAGGGAGACGCGCGCCTACGGAGTGACGGTGAGATCGCGGTCATCTTTCCCCGAGGAGGACGGAGACATAGGCAATTCATCATCATCCTCGGAACACTTGGCTGAAGAGAGCGAGGCGCACTTGCAGCCTTGCGGGGCGCCCCCGCCAGCACCCGCGCCGGTACCCCCGCCACTGCCGCGGTGGTTGCTACCCTTTCCCTCCTTCTTGTGTTTCACTCGGCGGTTCTGAAACCAGATCTTCACCTGTTTCTCGGACAGATTCAGATAGGTCGCGATCTCGATGCGGCGAAGGCGGGACAGGTACATATTGGAGGCGAACTCGCGCTCCAGCTCTAGCAGCTGCGTGCTGGTGAACGCCGTGCGCATTCTCTTGCTGCTGGGCAGCTGGTTCGAGGTGCTGTCTAGAGGGGATGGCGGTGCAGAGAGGGAAGTAATCAGACCCCTGTGCTGTGGGTCCAGTTCCCTACTGGGCGGCGGCTAGAATCCCGAGACCTTGGGCTCACACACCCCTTCGACCCAACACGATCCGCAACAGCGAGACCGCGGGCTCTTCCTTGCCAAGTTGCAAGCATTCCTTTATGGAGCGCCCTGAACCCCATTCCTCACGTCCTTCTGGACGCCCCCTGGAGGACTTGAATCTTCCGCCTTCACCCCTCCCCCCACGCCCCGGGCGACCTGCCCCAGCCCGCCATCCGCCCATCACCCCGAGCGCCCCCGTCAGGTGCCCTCCAGGACCCCGCCACTCCCAGAACGCCAAGGGTCTCTTCCCGCATTCGTGGTTCGCCAACCTGCTTTGGATCACCCCTGCCCTGTGCTTCTGCGCGACCGCCCGGGCCCGCTTACCCACGGAGATGCAGTGGAACTGCCTGGGGTCCGGCAGCGGATAGGAGGTCTGGTAGAGCGCGGCGGCAGCTGCGGCTGCGGCTGGGCCGTGAGCAACTCCGGGCGACACAGCGGACTGCTGGCGGCCCAGGGGAGCGTGGCAGTACTGCGAGCCGAAGGGCGGGAAGGACGCCTTAAGCAGAGGCAGCGCAGGCGGCCCGGGAGGCCCGTGCAGCTGCGAGGCGGTGACGCAGAGCGGACACACGCACAGCAGCCCGGCCTTGCGCGCGTGGCAGGCGCCGGGCGAGAGACCATGCAGCGCGTGCGGCGGAGGCACCGCGTAGGGGAAGAGCGGCGGCGGGCTACCCTCGGGCGCCTTCTTGTCGCCGGCCTCGCGCAGCACCAGGGAGTCCACTAGGAAGGAGCGCGGCATGGTCCTGGAGCGTGGCCGCCCCGCCGCCAGCCCGCCCCCTGCGCCCGCGGGACCTCCGGGTTCTCCACGCGCTTCCCCCCGCCGCGGCCGCCCGGAGCTGCCTCGGCCCGGGAGACTGAAGACTGCGCTGAGGCCGACGCTGTAGCCTTCGGCACTGCCGCCGCGGGCACCGCCCAAAGAGCGCGGGGTGCTGGCCAGCGCTAGTGGTGCTGAAAGGCGCCGACGGCGCCGCTTAAATAGGACTGTTGCCATGTGATGGACTACGCCGGGAGCGGCCGGGGCCTCTCAATAGGGTTTTTGTGCCTTTTCTCTTGGCATTCACTCTGCACGCTTCCTCATTATTTCACTTGTTAACTAAATGAACTGCATAATGTACTCTATTCTTGTCAACCCCACCCACGCCGTAACAGGCGCCCTCGCCCCCTCCTCTTCCTTTTCGGGTTTATTTTCTCATTCGCCCGCGATTTAATATTCTTTTCTTTCTCTTTATTCCTTACTCCCCTTTGGCTTTGCATTGGCGATCAGCCCATTTAGCTTATTGATTTTGCACCCCCGCTGCCTGTCTTCCACAGATCCCCATGGGCGCACCCTCCCCCATCTCCTCTGCCCACTGGTGCCCTTCTTTCTGCTATCTCTTCCTGTGCCCCCCAAAGTATGCTGCTTCCACTCAGTTCTCTCAGTGCAACTCTACATCTCGCGAGCGTCCTCGCAGCTGGTCTCAGATTTCCACCTGTGGAATCCCTACTCGCGCTGTGTCGGAAGCAGTAGAACCGAGGTTCCAGCGTTGGGGAGGCGCCACTAGGGAGGGAGAAGAAGGGCTTACTATTCCTCACCGAGCATTATTCCCAACGCTGGCCCTCTGTTTTCTCTGAGTTTCTCTAATGATCTTAACTTTGGCGCTGGCTACAACGCCCAGTCTTTGTTCGTAGATCCTGGCCAACCATCCCTTGCCTTCAGACAACAGGGCGTGGATGTAAAGAAAAAGAAAGAGGATGTGGACACTCTCCGAGAGGCATGGACAGACAGGGAATGGTGAATGAAAGCCTCGATCGTGCACATCGAGATCTCACTCTTCATCAAACGTGGCGACTGCGGAGTTCTCTGCCCAAGTAGATTTTGCGCGCGCCCTCTCCTCCCTCCCACCCACTAAACCCGGGGGTGATCTTGGAAACCATTGCCTTCCCACGGTTAGGATCCAAAGGAAGGGTAGTTGACTTTCCAGTTTCGGCTGAACTGCCTTCGCCCTTCCCGGCTGGGTTACCCTCTCCAGACCCAGCTCCTTCCTCGCGCCCCGCACTCTCTTCATTCTAGCCACACAATGGTTAAACAACTTCAAAAGCTCGGCGCTGTGTACACAGCTTCAGTCTTTAAAATCGTCCTCAGGCTCAAAGCTATCTCATCGGTGAGCTTTTTCCATACAATGGGAAATTAGCATAAATGTTTCGAATTTAAAGCCTGAGACGTTTACTTTCGATTTTATTGGAACCAAACCGCTGCAATCACCTGCTCTGGCCCATGAATAGAATTGTAAGAAATAGAGAGGGAAGCTTGGGGGGGCGGGGGGGGGGAATCAGTACAGAGGAATAAGTCTACCCAAACCCAAACCATCTGTATGGCTTTTCATTGTTGATAACATCTTTGCAATAATAACAGCAAAAAATAACTTACTTGCTTTTTAGCCAAGAGAATTTGTTATGGGAAAGGAAAAAAAAGCTACTTTCTTTCATAAAAGGGATAGAAGAGCTATGAGGGCCTAACCTTCGTGGAGGGCATACCACCCTGCGGGAGTAAAGGTTCAATGTTTCCTAGGTTGGTTGGCATGGAGTCCCCCCCTCCTCCATGCTAGGGTCTTGGCCCCAAGACGCCTGCAAACCAGCCGGAACGCATCAATGCAGCCTAATTCCCGTTGTAATTACTCTCTGGGAAATTTGGGCTGGGTTGGGCTGCTGAGAGCAGGGCAGGAACCGGCACTGGGACAGGAGAGGGGATCCCCGCTGGGCAGAGGCGGGTTTGAGAGGACCGGGTGCTAATGGGGCCGGAGATGTCTGTGGGGGGAGGGAGTAGCCAATGCGCCCCCAGAGCTGGGAGCCCGCGAGGTGCCAGTACGGAGCCCTCCCGGGAGCCGCCCGGCGCTGCCGGCCAGGAAGGGGTTAAAAGCCCCTGAATAAGAGCAAGGCCAAGGCTACTGGGAAAGAATATGGAGGGGGAAATATAACCAGTTTTTTCCCCCTCTCCCTCCAGCCTCTGGACCTTATTGAATGTCATTGAAGAAAGTTTTGAATGCCAGATAAAGAGAGGCGAATTAAAGTGTGTGACAGCGGAGGATAAGCAAACACAAAGAGAACTCTGTCACACTTTGGGGTAAAATCCGTGGGCTTTTTACCAAGTCTCTTCGCTATGATTGAATTAAGTAATAGGAAAACATTTTCTTTCAGTTTAGAGCCATTAGACAAAAACTTCAAAGCGAGTAACACTTTTTAATGTGCGGCCTCACAATGGATTGGGTTTTGTGCTGAAATGTTTAAATGGTTTGTTGTGCAACTCGGCGCGGGAGAGACCCGAGCCCAAGCAAAATAGCATCCCTGAGAGAGGGTTTTCGGGCGGCATGGAACCAACGCGCAGTTAATCCGCCATCTCCAAACCCCTCGGCTGCGGCCGGAAAGGGGGCTCGCGGCTCCGCGGTCCCTGGCGCAGGCTGCAACCAGGAGTTTGACTATTTCAGACAAGAAAGTTCCGCGTCCATGGAGCAGGACCGAGAGCCAGCTCTGGCTCCAGGCCCAGCGGCCCGGGCAGGTGCAGAGGCGCACGCCTGCGGGAGCTCGGGGCTGCCCTGCGCCCTAGCCCCGCAGCCTCTGCGCGCCGCCTGGTTTCCCGGGGGCCTCTCTGGGCTTCTCTCCCGCAGCCGCGCTGTTTGGCTTGCAGCAGCGTGGTTTGAACTTTAGTCACCCGAGCAAACGCCCTGTAGGGCGGGGCAGGGTGGGAGGAGGCGGCGGGATTAGCCTGACAGCCAGGGACAGGGGCCCCCTGGGAGCCCCTCGGCTCCGCGGGCCGGCTCTGCCCCCTCGAGCTGGTTTTCAAGTGTCCATCAGGGACAGTTCAATATGGAATAATTCCTGCTGTCCCGGCCTTTTCTTCTCTTCCATACTGCGTGCGTTCTTCCTTTTCCTGTTGGTGGAGGGAGCACACCATTTTCCTCCTGGAATTGTGATTTAAAGTATTAGCAGCAAAAACTACACAAATGGAGTGGTGGTGTCTAGTTCCTTTACTTGCTTCACATTTTTCTTCAAATGACACTTTCCTCTCAGGAAGGCAGAAGACATTATTTCTAACATCACCCTTCTAGGAGGGACTTTGGCTCCCTGCTTTGTAAGCACTCCTGAGTTTCTGTGCCTTTTGGTCTTTTGCTTTTCTGTCTCTTTCCTCAGGCCTGAAATTCATGCTCTACAAGAACCAAAGTGGTGGTCTATCTTGTGGAATGCTGTGTCTCAACTCAAAAAAGTTCCTGGTGCTTGATATATATTTGCTGGATGAATAAATGAGGTTGGATAGCTAGGAGGACTTCCTGGTGTGCTTGTTAATACACCTGGCATGGGGTAACTGAGCTCTGACATCATGGAAGTCAAGGGCTTTGGGAATCTCTCCCAGCCCCTCCTTACTCCCATGGCCTGGAACATCATAAGAGCTCAATGTGTTTATTGGCTGAATGGCGGACAGGTGAGCCAATCTGTGGGTACCCAGCCCTCCAAGGCAGGTCCTCAAGGAGACAGGATGGTCCCATTCAAAGCAGTTCAGCTCTGCAGAAGTAGAATGGGCCCATCTTTAGCTCAAAGCCAGGACTTGTCATCAGGTCTTTCATGGTGTAGAAGAGAAGGGGTGGACTGGAAAAGGAAGTGATATGGTACATGCCCAGAATTATCAGCAACATTTCTGCTTTTCCTGGCTAAGATAATGGGGTGGGAATTCTCATTATAAAGAAAGGAGCTTCCTCCTTTGCCAGCAAGCATTCAGACAACTTTCCCAGGAAAGAGTGAGCTGTTTACAGTATTTACAGGAGCAGAGGGGCAGTGAGTGCCTGGTGTGTGTGTGTGTGGGGGGGGATGCTGAGTGATCTGGGAGCCAGGAGTGGAAGATACCCTAAGGCAGGGCAGAGGAGTGGTGTCTACACATGAGTGTGCACAGGAAATGGAAGCCAAGTCATGGAGCCCATGAGAACAGGTGTGGGTTTGGTCCTGTTCCAAGACCAAGACTTTTTTTTTTTTCTTTGCAGTATTGGGGTTTGAACTCAGGGCCTACACCTTGAGCCACTCCACCAGCCCTTTTTTGTGACAAGTGTTTTGAGATAGGGTCTCCTGAATTATTCACCTGGGCTGGCTTCAAACTTCGAGCCTCCTGATCTTTGCCTCCTGAATAGCTAGGATTATAGCCATGAGCCACCAGCACCCAGCCTGTCCCAAGATTTTTAAACAAGGGGAGTAACCAAATTAACTGAACCTGAGAAATGTAATTGGAGGCGCTATTGGTGGAGTGAGAGGGAGGCCAGAGCAGAATCCAGCAGAGGTAGCTTGCAAATTATCAAATTACTGAATGAACAAAGGTAGGGAAAGAAGTTAAGAGATTGTATTAGTTCAAGTAATGGGTGATGAGCACCTGAGTTGGGGTGGGGGCAGCAGGACCAGAAGAAAGGACACATTGAAAGAACTTAAAGGGGAAATCAAAGAGGAAAGCCAATTATGGATCCTTGCACACACGTGCCCTGCATGCCTTGGAGGGCAAGGGCATGAAAGAGGGGTTAAACACATTCATGACCACCTAGTTGCTTGTTTGATGAAGTGGGCAGATGGGGAAATCAAGGCAGAGACAGGGAACTTCAACCTCCAGTTGAAAGGCCTACCTCTTTGCTTTTGGGGTGTACAATATTAAGTCATACTTCGGTGTGTTGCATTTTGGTCTTTAACCTTCCGAGCATTCTGCGGATGTCCCATAGGTAGATGAAAGTGTGAGTCTAAAGTTGAGTAGAGACACTAGAGATGAGAAAACTGA